GTTTAAATAGGCTTGAGCAGATAAGCTGTAAATATAATCTACTGTACAGAATCGAAACAAGCATGATGGATTCTCCTCCACCCCTGGGCATTTCAGAATTGCATTATTTCAAATTAGTTCCTTAGGTTGTCCTAGATGAGATGTTCTAATTCAGCTACAGCCACTGAAGCATGGAATGCAATTCTGTGGCTGTCATATGCAAGGGAGATGATCACAAAATCATAGAACCACAGAATGGTTTGGGTTGGCAGGGATCTTAAAGGTCACCTAGGTCTACCCCCATGGCATGGGCATGGACACCTCCCACTAGATAAGGTTGCTCAGAGCCCCATCCAACCTGCCCTTGAACACTTCCAAGGATGGGGCCTCCACAACTTACCTGGGCAACCTGGTCCAGTGTCTCACCACCCTCACACCAAAGACTTTCCTCCTAATGTCTAACCTAAATCTACACTCTTCCAGTTTTGATCCATCACCCCTTTTCCTCTTGCTACAAGCCCTTGTAAAAAGTCCCTCCCCAGCTTTCCTTTAGCCCCTTCAGCTGCTGGAAGGCTGCTACAAGGTCTCTCTAGAGGCTTCTCTTCTTCAGGCTGAAAAACCCCAACTCTGTCAGCCTGTCTTCATAGCAGAGGTGCTCCAGCCCTCTGGTCATCTTCATGGCTCTCCTCTGGACTTTCTCCAGGAGCTCCACGTCCTTCTTGTGTTGGGGGATCCAGACCTCTCTGACCATATGATTTTAGCTGAACAGATTTAAGGTTTCAACATCTGAAGCAAAATTTGAGAATCAATTGCCTAGTCTTCTGCAATGCAGCCTTCATATTTTCATTATTAGAGTCACAACTTCAGTGCTCTTTGTTTGTTTGGGGCTTTTTGTGTCCAATTTTCTCTAATTTGCAACACATACACTTGTAAAAGAAAAAAAAAGAAAACAATCGGTGAAATTAAGTCTCTCACACCTTCTCTTTCTTGTCCCAGGATCTCAAAACCCCAAGCTAATTAAACGCTGTGCTGTATATGCATCTTTTTTTATAAAAGGACGGGAAGATAAATAATAAGACTGATATTAATATTTTTTTTTACAGTATACTAGAAAGCATCAAAGCACAACAGGGATGAGGATGGTAAAAGACCACCAACACAACAGAAGAGGTACATACTTTTGGGTAAGATATGTAGGGCATGCCATTTTAAATGCTGGGGAGAAAAGGAAACCTCTAGTCCAGCCGCTTTTCACATTGCAATACTGTTTTTGTTGTTGAGGTTTTTTTATTCTGTATATAGTCTCTTTTTAATGTGAATCTTTTGGTTGGTATTTCCAACAATGTCAACCTACTACATTAGACCAAAACCTCTACTATGTGAACTTATTCTGTATCTGAGTATTATAAAGTTTTTTTATCCTCCTCTGAATCTGACCATTAACACAGACTTTACAGGTTAAATCAGTTTCTAAGGGGCAACCTATAAAGGTTAAAATAATCAACTGCTCATTAATATGAATCTCTTCCTTTTATTTAACCAAGTGCAGGAGAGGAAACCACTTACAGCACATTAATAAAACCTTCAAAGATGTCAAAATGTTACTATCCCATTAGCTCTTCCTCCTATCTTAATGACTGACATTCCTGAAATAAAACAGAAATTTTATGCTGGTATCAATATTTGGAACCTCATAAAATCCATTACAGAACTACATTTTTATACAGCATGGAGTGGACAGCTAAGAGACTGCAGTTGCTGTCATTACAATAAAATGACCAACACTTGAAAGGTCTACTGTCTGGGGTAAACACTTGCTCTGTACGACCACAATCAAAAGCTAAAACTGTGTGATCCATGAATTATAGATTTTTTTGGCCCTCTGGGATATGCACAGTAGGGATAAACAAGAGTTGCGTGGTTTGCATCACTGTTCACTTTGGAGGCCTGTATGAATGCATATGTCCAAATGGCATTGGCCTGAGGTGTAATACCTTAATTCTAGACTTTGTTCACTGTGCTTCATTAATCCTGTGGTCCTGTGAGATCTGGGAGTGAAAAGGGTTGCTCTGAGGACTGGAAACACTCACAGGGCTCTCCTAACCACCAGTGATTATCATTTTACTGTTTCTCCAGCAGATAACACCTACATCCTTAGAGTCTGTCATATGGTTCTACAGAGGTGTCCCAACCAAGCACAAGGATTTACGCTCCCAGATAATAGTTTCCAATACATTATGAAAGACTGTATCTACCATTTGGTGCTTTGATTGACAGCAACAATCACAGCCAGATGTGACACATCTTCGTTTTGTTAAACAAGTTTCAGTGTCATCAAGTCCATTGCTCGTAGTACTTCATAGCTGTTCTCAAAGCTTCTGAAGATCAGCAGAAGCTGACAATATCTGTTTCTTCCACTATCTCACTTCATATGCACGACAAATTGATCAGTAAGTATAATTCGCTGGACTGTTTACTTCCCTTTGCCAACACTGCTACACTTGATTAAGATAGGAGTTTTCTCTTCACAAAGATCAATGCCACTCAGTCAGCTTCTAGCACTAGTGGGCAGGCACTTTTCCTAAAGTGTGACT